ACCCGGCACCCGGCACCCGGCACCCGGCACCCGGCACCCGGCACCCGGCACCCGGCGACACCTGGGCGACCCGGCGACCCGCACCCGGCGACCCGGCACCCGGCACCCGGCACCCGGCACCCGGCACCCGGCACCGGGACCCGGCACCCGGCACCCGGCACCCGGCACCCGGCACCCGGCACCCAGCGACCCGGCCCGGCACCCGGCACCCGGCACCCGGCACCCGGGACCCGGCACCCGGCGACCCGGCACCCGCACCCGGCACCCGGCACCCGGCGACCCGGCACCCGGCACCCGGCACCCGGCACCCGGGACCCGGCACCCGGCACCCCCGGCACCCGGCACCCGGCGACCCGGCACCCGGCACCCGGCACCCGGCACCCGGCACCCGGCGACCCGGCACCCGGCACCCGGCACCCGGCACCCGGCACCCGGCACCCGGCACCCGGCACCCGGCGACCCGGCGACCCCCCCGGCCACCGGCGACCCGGCGACCCCGCACCCGGCACCCGGCCCCGGCACCTGCACCGGCAACCCGGCACCCGGCGACCCGGCGACCCGGCGACCCGGCGACCCGGCGACCCGGCACCCGGCACCCGGCGACCCGGCGACCCGGCGACCCGGCGACCCGGCACCCGGCACCCGGCACCCGGCACCCGGCACCTGGCACCCGGCACCCGGCACCCGGCACCCGGCGACCCGGCGACCCGGCGACCCGGCGACCCGGCACCCGGCACCCGGCACCCGGCGACCCGGCGACCCGGCGACCCGGCGACCCGGCACCCGGCACCCGGCACCCGGCACCCGGCACCCGGCACCCGGCGTTTCCCGGCCGGCCCCCCGTCCTTGTCAGGACCGACCTCAAAAGTTTATGCTTGTGCAGGTTCTCCTTCTATGGAGGCGCTTTCCCCTCCGCTCTGCGTGTGTTCCCTGAGGTCCGGGCGTCGCAATTGTTTCGCACTGGGCGTTTTCGATTGCAGGCACCACAGATCGATCGGACTCGAAGGATGGCGCAGACATATAGGGTCCTGGTCGTGATTTTCCGCGATGCTGCAATCTTTCCGCAGCGTCGGTTTTCAGTCCTCAGACGATCGAGGGCGTCCATTGGAGGTCGAGCCTCCGTTCTGGAGAAAACAACAACCCCGAGATCCGACGTCGCGAAAAAATGCAGCATCGCGAAAGAAGGCGACCGTAGCCTTAGACCGAATCTTCCTGCGGAATTTCTCTAGCCAGATCGATCTGTGATAGCCACAGGGCCCGAAACCAGGCGAACACGCCCAGCGAGCAAGTATTGCATCGTCTGGATCTCAGGGTCCGACTTCCAAAATCGACGCTCTCGATCGTCTGGGGATGGAAAACTTTCACCTGGGGGGAAAAATCTACCGATACCGCTACCCTCCCCGGACCTGTCCTGGGGTGCGTTTCTGGTTAGAGTTTGGATGAGAATCCAGCCGTGGCGACGAGAGCTCTCCAGGGTGAGCAGCGGTATTGGCACCCTTCTCTCCCTCTTCCCGAGAGCAGCACCTGGCTTGAGTTTGAACTCGAGTCGGCGGCGAAATCCGAACCCTACCCTCGCCGATCAGCGCTTCAGGTAACTTGATGGGCGGCGGGGTAGTGCTCGGAATCCGTCGGACACGTGGCGAAATTCGAGCCCTAACCCCGCCTCCCGTCGATTCAGGAGAATAGACGGTTGGCGGGGGTACAGCCAAGACGCTGAAATGAGGACCGGTTTGGGTTCGGCAGGGGCTCGGGGCTTTGGGTCGCTTCTTAGATCTATGTCGCGGGACTTGCTTGTGGCCTAAGCCCACCGTGGCCTGGCCAGAAAAGCCCCTTTGTTCCTTATTTGGCGTTCCTTCTGGTAGTACAGTCGGGGCCCTGAAGAAGGAACCCTTTTCGTTGGGGAGGGGCTCGGTGTTCCTTGCTTGTTCTGCAGTGTACCTTCGGTTCTCCTGAGGCTTCCCGTGGGAAATCGAAGTTCAACTTGTGGGAGAAAGGGGCCTCGTTCCTTATTTAGGGTTCCTTAGGTCAACGCCCCGACTGCACCTCGACTCCCAGACCCCCGACGTAATGATTTTTTCATTACGTCGACCCCCCGAGGTCTCGATCCCTTCCCCGGGACCGGTTTGTCATCCTGAGTCGTTTTTTGACGCTCCCGAGGGCCGGTAAGGGCCCCTAAATTGGGATGCAACTCCTGGGAGGTCAAATTCTGATTTTGCACTGGTCCGAAGTCCAGCTTAATCCGGCTTAATCCGGCTTAATCCGGCTTAATCCCGCTTAATCCCGCTTAATCCGGCTTAATTCCGCTTAATCCGAGGCCGACTCCAGCGTAATAGCTCCCAAATGGGGCTCAATTCTCATTAATTCTTCCGACGAAAACCTCCCAGTAGTTGCCTCCTAACCCAAAGGCCGAAAATGGCGAAAAACCTCCCGTCATGATTTTTTCATTACTCGAGGGGGTCTGGGCTGCAGGGGTCGGATGCCGCCGATCGAGACCTCGGAGGCCCGGTTGAGTCCCCGATGGCTGCGCGGGCCGCCGAGCCCCCGGACGCGGCCTCGGACGCGGCGTCGGCGCCCGCCCTGGACTGCTCCCCGGCCCTGGTGCTCACCAGCTTCGAGGGGAACCAGCACGCCGCGGTGGTCCCGCCCCGCTCGGAGGGGGTGGGGGCCTCTCGGGCGCAGACAGCCTCGCGCCGTCAAGCAATCCCGACGGACGTGCGTTGTGCGCTCTGTGTTGTGTTGCCGTTGGCGGTGTTGCTGCTGCTGCTGTGGTTGCTGCTGCTGATGGTGTCGCCGTTGCTGATGTTGTTGCTGCTGTGGGTGTTGCTGCTGCCGTTGCTGTTGCTGTTGCTGTTGCTGTTGCTGTTGCTTGTGCTGTTGTTGTTGTTGTTGTTGTTGTTGTTGTTGTTGTTGTTGTTGTTGCTGTTGCTGTTGCTGTTGCTGTTGCTGTTGCTGTTGTTGTTGTTGCTGTTGTTGTTGTTGTTGTTGTTGTTGTTGTTGTTGTTGTTGTTGTTGTTGTTGTTGTTGTTGTTGTTGTTGTTGTTGTGTGTTGTTGTTGCTGTTGTTGATTGTTGTTGCTGCTGCTGTCGTTGATGTTGCTGTTATTGTTACTTGTGCTGTTGTTGCTGTTAGTGTTGCTGTTGTTGGAATTGCTGTTGTTGTTGCTGTTGGTGTTGTTGCTGTTGGTGTTGTTGTTGCTGTTGTTGCTGTTGTTGCTGTTGTTGTTGCTGTTGTTGTTGGTGGTGCTGCTGTTTTTGTTGCTGCTGCTGTTGTTGCTGCTGCCATTCGAGGGCCAGCCGGGGGGGGGGCCCTCTCCAGAACCCCCTCGCGTCGTGGGGGAACCGCCGCGCCTCGAGGTGGTCCCGCGCTCCTCTCGGGGGGGGGTGGAGGGGGGGGGTAAAACGACGCGAAGATCGGGGCAAAATCGGATCGGGATAACTCGAAATCTCTGAGAATCGGCGGGTTTGGAGGATGTATTGGGCGCCGCGGCCGCTCCAGAGCATCCCGGAACGCTCTGAGAGCGCTCCGGAACGCTCTGGAGCGATTTATCCCGATCCTAGCCCTGTTTTAACGGGGGGGCCTCCGTCGAAGAAGAGACAAACGGCAGATGCGCATGAACTTTTCGGAGCTCCGCGCGGACCTCTCGGATCGGCGCTGGGCGCTGGGCCTCCCTCGCGGCGCCAGGGGCTCCGCGCGCCAGGGAGGCCCAGCCATCTCGCGCCGTGAAAACCGTGGATGGACAAGAAAGTGGAACCCCTCCCCCCAATTTCAAAGTTGGCCTCAAGCATTTGGCAGCACATATTTTTTTGTTTAACAGCCGCAGGCGGAAGCGCCAGCGGCGGAAGGTCGCGAACGGGCCGCGGACGCGGCTAAATTACCTAACGCAAGGCAGCACAGACGTGAGAGGGCAAAAGAAGTGGAACCCCCAGGGCCTCCGAGAGGCCGAACCCAACTTTGAAATTGGGGGGAGGGGGGGGGGACGAATGCGGGGCCGAAGACGAAAGGGTTCCATTTTTTTGTCCCCTTACCGAAAGAGACGCGACGGGAGGTCTTGTCTGCTACCATGTTCGGCCTCCGCGGGCCCTCGCGGGCCCCCCGGGGCCGTCAAGAAACGGCTCGAGATCAAAAACTGGCCTCGGGCAGAGGGGGTCGGGGTTTCCGGATAATTACCACGCATGGCAAAGATTGAGACTCAGGAGGGAGCAAAAACACATAGACACGGATAGTCGACGATTCCCAGTAACGTATGGACAAGATGGGAAGTGGAGGGGAAGACGAACCTCCAGGAAATGTGGACAAATATGGGGAATCCTGAGATTTGTGTCTATCTATTTCTGTGCTCCTGGGCTCCTTCAGAGACGTCGCATCTTTGGGCCAGGGCTCGAGCTACACGGTGTTTTGGCGATCTCGTGGACCGCTGTCGTTTTGATCTCGTTTCGCAACAGAGGCAGAACGAAGACAGAACGAAGGAAGACGAAAACATATCGAAAACGGAGGAAGACAGACCGAAGACAGAACGAAGGACGACGAAAACAAAACGAAAACGACGGAAGACAGAACGAAGACAGAACGAAGGAGGACGGGAACAGAACGAAAACGAAGGAAGACAGAACGAAGACAGAACGAAGGAAGACAGAACGACAACGAAACACACTGTTCAGCTCAGGCCCTGCCCTGGGCAGGGGCCCTCAGAGGACCGAAAGCCTCCAGCATGAAAGTTCGAGCTCCATTCTGGCTGCGATTTTCTCCCCGTTTCGTTTTGTTTCTTCTCCAGAACGGGGGCCCGACGTCGAACATGGATGCGTTTCAATCCTCTCGGCGCTGCCGAGGGCCCACAACCAAAAAACCGAAGAGGCCTTCCAGAGGCAGGCAGCAGCCGCATCCGCCAAGCGCCGGCCAGCCCCTGGGCCCGGGGCCTTCCTTCTGGCCGGGCCTTCACCTGCCCTCCTCCTCCTCCTCCTCCTCCTCCTCCTCCTGCTGCTGACCCTCCTCCTCCTCCTCCTCCTCCTCCTCCTCATCCTCCCTCCCTCCTTCATCCTCCCTCCTGCCCTGCTGGAAGTGGCCAGGGAGGGCCTCGCCAGAGTCGGGGAAGCGCAGGACAGCTTGCCAGAGCTCGGGGTTGCCGCCAGATGTTCATCGGTCCCGGAAGCCCTTTCTGATGTTCCAGTTTTCGTGGGATGTCTGCAGCGAGAGAGCGTGTGGCAAGTTTCAGAGGAGGTCCCGTCATTTTTCTGGCGGCCCCGTCAGGCAAACTCGAACCCCCCAATCTCGGCTCGTATGTCTCTACGACGGACCCAAAGCCTGCAAGATGAAGGCTCAAGCTTCACTATGAAGGGTTTGTTCCTCGATTCTTCATCTTTCCTTCAGAATGCAGGTTCGACATCCCGAATGGATGCTTTCGATCCTCTGGGTCCGAGCGCGGCGGGCGCTGGCCGGGGAAGCGCGGGCACTGGCCAGGGAAACCAGCGAGACCCTCGCCGTGGTCATGCTCGAGAAATTCTAGCATCAGCTGGTTTGTTCCCCCCGTCCTGCCATTTGCCAATGTATGCCGCCCGCAGGGGCGCGAGGGTAAGTCGGGCGTTCCATAAAGGACCTCGCCTTCGGCGGTAGGCTGGCGGAAGCAAAACGGCGGCGGCTCCGCCGCCCGAAGCCGCCGGAGGGCCGGCAGCAGTTGGCAGGAGCAGAGACGAGTCGGCAGCGTTTTGGGGTACAGGGTTTCTGGAGTCGGACCACGCATCGGAGGTCAGCTATACACATCGACCGATTCTGGCCAGGCTGGTCCTGGGCCCAGGATCGGCGTATATGCTTTCTGTCCAAGCCAGGAGGTCGCAGACACCGATCCTGTTCCCAGGATGGGCCTGGCCAGGATCGGTGAACGTGCATAGTTCCCCAAACAGTGCTTGCACTTAGGGTTTCTCGATTCCTTTTCTGAGGAACTGGGCCTGCCCGTCGGTATGGCGGCTGTGTGGTCGCCGTCGCCGCCCCGTCACTCGGGACCTGCCCATCAGTCTAGTCTGGCGGCTATGTGGTCGCCGTCGCAGCCCCGTTGCCGTCTGGGCCTGCGTTACTTTGCATTGCCTTGCGTTACTTCGAACAGCATTCCATTGATGTGCATTGCTTCATTTGCGTTGCCTTGCACTGTTTCACACTGATTCGCGTTGCTTTGCCTTGCTTTGCATTGCGTCGTATTGCTTTGCAGTGGTTTGCACTGCTTCTCATTGCTTTGCATTGATCTGCGTTGCGTCGCATTGCGTGGCATTGCTGTGCAGCGTTTTGCATAGCATGGCACAGAAGGGGAAGAGGGAGGAGGAGGTGTACACTTCAGAGATTGCACCAAATAGGTTGCACCGCGAATTGCTAAACGTAGATTGCGCCACAAATAGTGCACCACATAGATTGCACCACTAATATTGCGCCACATCTATGGCACCGCTCAAGTTGCACCCCGTGTATTGTACCACGTAGCTTACACTACATATATAGCACCACGTAACTTGCACCGCACATCTTGCACCACATAGCTTATGTTGCGACACATAGCTTACATGACGTAGCTCGCACCACACATATTGCATCACATACATGTTCCTTTCTAAAGGACTATTCGGATCTAGCCCCCTCCCCCCACCCCCGGACTTAACGGCTCCCTTTTGCGTATTGTTTCCGCATGCGATTCTGCACACTCGTCCATCCTACACATGGACTCAGACCGTCCCAGGCAGACGCTTATCGACCACCCCCTCATCCTCTGCTAGCACAGCTATGCGCGCACACTCGTTTATCAAAAATCAGCAGTTTTCCAGAACGCCTTTGAAAACATGGGACGGGGTGCACACGCGCGCGCGTCGTCGCCCGCGCATGCCGAAATCTTTAGATGTTGTTCGGTTTCGTAAGGGTTTCAAGCTCGAGTGCCCCGAAAACATACAAACAACGAATGGCTTGGCAACCGGAATTCTCAAAGAAGCCTGCGCTCGCGCTCTTGCGAATTCCAGCAAACCATAGGTTGTTCAACATTTCTATCACATGCTACCAAGCGTGCCTCTCGCGCGCGCATGTCGAAATCATTCGAACGCCCCTGCGCGCGTGCTGTCGCGATAATCCCTTGCAGCAGATGGGACGAAGTGCACACGCCCGCGTCGTCGCCCGCGCATGCCAACATCCTTCAAACATTTCAGGTTGCGTAAGGATGTCAAAATCGAGTGTCCCGAAAACATGAAACAAGAACACATGGCTATGCAACATCAGTTTTCAAACAAAAAAGATTTGCGCGCTTGCGTTTGCGAATTCTTGCGAAAACCATCGGTGTGCGCCCCTCGCGCGCGTCGGCCGCGCGCGCATGTCGAACTCCTCCCAACACCTTCATCACTGACGCGAGGACACCGTCATCGTCATCGGCGTGATCAACATCGGCACCGTCATTGGCCTTGCCGTCGCCATCGGCATCATCGTCACCATCATCGCTACTACCATCATTGTGTCTACCGTTGTCGACGTCTCCATGGTTCCGTGTCCGCCCAAGTCACCGACTCGCAGCGAAGGGCCTGCTAGGAAGTGCCCAGCGGTCAGCGCCACCGCGGCCGCGACAGTCGCGCCAAACTAGCTGGCCGCTGTGCGCGCGAGCATGCGCGGGCTAGCGCAGCCTCAGAGATGCACCAGCCAACACCACGCACTCATCCCAATCGCCGCCGCATCGGTTTTGCAAACCAAGTTGCGGGTGGTTGGGTGGGATGAATGCGCGAGCAGTGGAGCTGACAGCTCTAAGGTTATTCAAATTAACTGCGCCACAGACATTGCGCCACATATGTTGCACCGTATAGCTTGCGCCTCATAGCGTGCACCACAACAATTGCATCGCATGGATGGCGCCACCTAGCCTGCGCCACATCACATACCTCGCGCCACACAGAATGCCAGAGCGCACTGTTTAGGGCTCGCGCTGGCTGACCGTGGTGTTCTCCGAACGCATGGGTTTTTGATACGCGGGGGGGGGCCCGCTTGATTGAAAAGTCTTGGGCCCCCATGCCGAGCAGACGGGCAGGGCCACCGCGGAGCCAGCGCGTCCGCGGGGTCGTGCGGTCGTACGACCCCATACAGGGCCGCGGCACCGTCAGCTACGAGGGGCCGCGCGGCACCGTGGAGGTGCTCCTGGGCCGGGCCGAGGCAGAGAGGAGCGAGATCACAAACGGTGCACACATCTTGGAGCCGGCTGCGGGGCCGAGCTGGCCCAGCACCGGGCCCTGGGCAGCACAGGGGGGGGAGGAAGAGGGCCCCATCGTCGCCACGGCCGGGTGCGGCTCGAGAGACTGGTCCGCTTCGGCCCCGGGGGGGGTCCAGGGACCGATTCTGAGCGAATTTGCCGTCATCCTCACCAATCGACAGATTTTCTTTCGGTTTGTCCAGCTCAGACTCCCTGGCCGCCTCCAGCACGCATCACCTTCGCGCTCAGAGACAACGACAAGTGCAGGAGGGAGGCGTGCGACATCAGAGTCCTCCTAAAAGGAGTCCCGCAGAAAGACTTCGTGCCGAAGCTGGTGTCTCATCATGCGGACCTCGATTGGACAGCCAGGTACGTTGGCATCATCAAGTGGTTCCGCGCAGAGACTGGCCTGCCCGCCTCGATCCGACGGAAGGACCCCGGGTATGGGTACATCGCGTGTAGAGAAACGTTCAAGCTTTTCGAGCGCGACGTCTGGGCATACCCGGCGCAGCTCCAGGGCTTCAAGGCGGGCGACGCGGTCAGCTTCAGGTCGGAGGTGGCCAAAGGTGTTCGTCTACCACGGCGCCCCCCGCTTTTTGCTCCGTTTCGGAGCCCCCTTGGGCCCTCTGGGCCTCGTCGTGAGGGGTGCTCTGGAGGCCGTGGGGACCTCCTGGGAAGTCCTGGGGAAGCCTGAGCGACTTAAAAAAAACGGGGTCGACTGCGCGGAAATTCGCGCAGCAGCGTTCCCGCGTAAGGTCGCGCACGGGCGCCCCCTTCTCCGCGCGGCGTGCCACGCAGACGGCCCGCGTCAGCCTCGGCTCAAGGTCGCTACGGTGGGGGCATTCGCAAAGGATCATGAAACATGTGCCCATTTTTTTTGTTCGTTTCAACCCCAACGAGTTTTCCTGCAGGGACTGGGGCGGTGACAGCCTGCAGAATATTTTCCCCGCCAGAGTTTGGCGGGGAGACAAGGCCACCAGCAGGATCCTGCAAGTGGAAAAGCAGCATGGACCGCCAGCCCTCGACTGCACAAGAGGACGGGCGGACATCAGCCAGTTGGGCCCTTGGGCATTTCTTTATCTGATGAGGGCGGCAGTGGTGTCCATTGCCAGTCCTCGATTGGAGTTCCACCGGCTCCCCAGACCCTGGATTGTTTCATCTGGTGGTTCCCTATCCAATGCCCTCGCCGTATGCCTTCCGGCGTAAGACCCGCTTCTTGTCGTCGCTGACCTTAGGCCAGGGAGCCGCAACTCTAGGCTCCGAGATGCCGTTCGGGATGAAGAGGAGGTCGAGGAGGAGGAGGAGGAGGAGGAGGAGGAGGAGGAGGAGGGGGAGGAGGAGGAGGAGGAGGAGGAGGAGGAGAAGGAGGAGCCCTTTGGCAGCACCCAACCAGGGTCAGCATCGACCACTGGTACAGCTGGCCCATTGCTCTCGACATCGAGCCCGCCCCCTCGCCTCTGCAGGACGACGCCCCGGCCTCGGAAGAACGCGTCGGGGGCGGGCACTCGAACGAAGGATTGCAAAAAAACCGAAGGATTGCAAAAAAAGGATTGCAACAAAAACCGAAGGATTGCAAAAAAACGAAGGATTGCAAAAACAACGAAGGATTGCAGAACGAAGGATTGCAAAACGAAGGTTTTTTTGCAATCCTTCGTCCCGCAACGGGCCCAGAGGGTCGCAAACTTCATCGCAACAAGAAACCGCACCTGTGAGTATACGACCCTTGGCCCCGTCTTTGAATGTGGGGTCGGGATCTGCTGGTGGGTGCCATAGGGGTCACCGTGTGCGTATCTTCCCGAGGTCCCACAACTCACCGGTGTATCCCGGCAGCAGTTTCATTTTCTAGATGTTTTGGTGGCTTGCGCAGGTGAGGGTGTCTTGCGTTGGCCCCACCTCCATTTCGGAAGTCGAACTTCCACTTCTGATGGAAAAAAGCATGCTGGATACAGAAAATGGTTTCAGAATGGAGGCATAACCTTCAAGTCGGAGGCTGTCGGTCCTCTGCACAAGGTATGTGGGGTACCCTCCCGACAGGGGGTAATCCTCGTCAGGTCGGCGCGCGGTGTTTACCCGCGACGGGGGTCCGCTAGAGGTTCTCGACGGGGGCGGCGACAACCCAGCGCCTCTGGAACAACGCGGAGTACTGGCCTGGCACTGCTGGCAAACCAAGTTTTTTTTTATTTGTGTCTCCAATGCATCTTCGTTTTCTGCACGCGGAGTCGTGCTCGTTCTTGCAACCTCAGACTTTCAGAGTGGTATTCGTTGTCAGTTTTCGAGTTCCGTTCTGTTGCCAACGCCGCGCCAGTTGGGTCGAGGGAGGAGGGGAGGGGAGGATGCAGAAAAGGGCGTTGTTCACAGCGCCCCTGGAGATCTGTGACGGCGCCCGAGCGCGCGAGAGGGTGAATGGGGGAGGAGGGGAGGGGGGAGGGGGGGGGGAGGGGAGGGGGAGGGGTGTGGTGGGATGTGTGTGTGTGTGGGTGGTTTTGTGGAGGAGGGAAAGGGGTTTGGGGAAAGGGGGGAGGAGGAGGCGAAGGGGAGGAGGGGGGCAGGGGAAGGAGGAGAAAGGGGGGAGGGTGGGGGAGGGGGCGGAAGGATGCGGAGGGGAGGGGGAGGGGAAGAGGGAGGCGCAGGGGAGGGGAAAAGGGGGAGGAGGCAAGCTAGGTGCACTCGCGCCCCATCTGACATCCTATCCCTCCCGTCCATCCCTTCCCATGGCGCTGATTTTTCTCGATCCGCGGGCGCGTGTCATAGCCGACCTGCGACTCCCGCAGAAGACCACTTCGTGTTATGCGCAGTTGGAAACAGGGAAGCTGCGTGCACTGGAGGAGGAGGTGGCGGCTGAGCAGGACGCTTGGCGGGAGGAAAAGGACGAGGACGAAGAGCAGCAGCAGGAACTAAAGCGGAAGGATCGGGAGGAACAGGAGGACCAGGGGAAGGCGGAGGAGGGGAAATGAAGGGGGGGCAACAACGATAAAGAAATACTTGAATTCTGAAAAGTGGCCCGCGCTGGGGCGAGACGAAGAGCAGCACCAGGAACTGGAGGGGAAGGAGCGGGAGGAACAGAAGACCAGGGGAAGGCGGAGAAGGGGAAATGAAGGGGGCGCGGGACCACAATGAAGCAAGGCTCGGATCAGTGGCCCGCGCTGGGGGTGGGAGCGCCATTTTGAACGACGGGAGCAAATCGCCGACCCGAAAATGAGGCCAACGCTGCGGTCAGAACACCAATTTGAAACACCGAGAACAATCGAATTGTAAAAACCCTTAAAGATCAATGTTTGAAATCTTCTGTGTAAAAAAAGAGTACGCGGAGGGGACGGAAGATCTTCCGGACAAGTTCAGGGGAGGAAGGAGAGTAGTCTTCATGTTGTTTATTTGTAAGGGGGCGAGGATGGGAGGGGAGGAGGACATGAAGGGAGGGCAGGAGGGGAGGGGGCAAGAAGGGAGGAGTGCGCAACGCAGCGCGAGCACAGTCCAGCTGCCGTGCGCACGGGCTCCGCTGGGCGGATCATCGCCGGGGCCCTCTGGGGTCCTGAACCGTTGCCGCCGTTGTCGCCGCCGTCGCCGCCGCCGCCGCCACCGCCGACGCCGTTGTCGTCGTCGCCGTCGTCGCCGCCGTCGCCGCCGCCGTCGTCGTCGTCGCCGTCGTCGCCGTCGCCACCACCGTCGCCGCAGCCGCCGCCGCCGCCGCCACCGCCGACGTCGTCATCGTCGTCGTCGTCGCCGCGGCCGCCGCCGCCGACGCCGTCGTCGTCGCCGTCGTCGTCGTCGCCGTCGCCGTCGCCGCCGCCGCAGTCGTCGTCGTCGTCGTCGTCGTCGTCGTCGTCGTCGTCCTCGTCGTCGTCGTCGTCGTTGTCGTCGCCGTCATCACCGTTGCCGCCGTCGCCGCCGCCGTCGTTGTCGTCGCCGTCGTTTGTTGGTCCCAACCTGGCCGCCGCCCGCCGCCGCCGCCGCAGTCGACATTCCGTCCGTTGTCGTCGTCGTCGTCCGTCGTGGTCGTTCTCTCGTCGTCGTGTCGTCGCCGTGGCCGTCCGCGCCGCACGTCGTCGGGTCGTCGCCGTCAGCGCCGCCGCCGCCTACCGCCGACGCCGTCGGTCGTCGTCGCCGTCGCCGCCACCGGAACCGCCGTCGTCGTCCGACCGTCGTCGTCGTCGTCGCAAGCCGTCGCCGCCGCAGTCTCCGTCGCCGTCGTCGCCGTCGCCACCGCCGTCGCCAGCCGCCGCATCCGTTCGTCGTCGTCGTCGTCCGTCGTCCGTCGTCGTCAATCGTCGTTGTCGTCGTCGTCGCCGCCATCGCCGTCGCCACCGCCGTCGCCGCCGCCGCCTGTGTCGTCGCCGCCGCCGCCGCTGTCGTCGTCGTGGTCGTTACCGTCGTCGTGGTCATTATCGTCGTCGTCGTGGTCGTCGTCATCGCCGTCGTCGCCGTCGCCGCCGCCGCCGACGCCGTCGTCGTCGTCGTCGTCGTCGCCACCGCCACCGCTGACGCCGTCGTCGTCGTCGCCGTCGTCGTCGTCGTCGTGGCCGCCGCCGCCGCCAACGCCGTAGTCGTCGTCACCGTCGTCGTCGTCGCCGTGGCCGTCGCCGCCGCCGCAGCCGCCGTCGTCGCCGCTGCCGCCTTCGTCGTCGTCGCCGTCGTCGCCGCCGCCGCCGTCGCCGTCGACGCCGCCGCCGCCGCCCGACGTCGTCGTCGTCGTGGCCGCAGCCGCCGCCGCCGACGCCGTCGTCGTCGTCGCCGTCGTCGTCGTCGCCGTGGCCGTCGCCGCCGGCGCAGTCGTCGTCGTCGTCGCCGTCATCACCGTCGCCGCCGTCGCCGCCGCCGCCGTCGTTGTCGTCGCCGTCGTCGCCGTCGCCACCGCCGTCGCCGCCGCCGCAGTCGTCGTCGTCGTCGTCGTCGTCATCGTCGTCGTCGTCGTCGTGGTCGTTATCGTCGCCGTCGTCGTCGTCGCTGCCATCGCCGTCGTCACTGCCGTCTCCGCCACCGGCGTCGTCGCCGCCGCCGCCGCCGCTGCCGTCGTCGTCGTGTTCGTGGTCGTGGTCGTCGTCGTCGTGGTCGTCGTCGTCGTCGTTGTCGTTATCGTTATCGTCGTCGTCGTCGTCGTCGTCGTCGTCGTCGTCGCCGTGGCCGTCGCCGACGCCGCAGTCGTCGTCATCGCTGTCGTCGCAGTCGCCGCCGCCGCCGACGCCGTCGTCGTCGTCGTCGCCGTCGTCGCCGTCGCCGCCGCCGCCGCCGCTGCCGTCGTCGTCATCTTCGTCGTCGTCGTCGTCGCCGCCATCGCCGTCGGCACCGCCGTCGCCGCCGCCGCCGTCGTCGTTGCCGCCGCCGCCGCCGACGCCGTCGTCGTCGCCGTCGTCATCGTCGTCGTCGCCGCCGCCGGTGCCGTCGTCGTCGTCGCCGTCGTCGCCGTCGCAACTACCGTCGCCGCAGCCGCCGCCACCGCCATTTTGGCCCAAAACGGCACCCAGGGAGCACTGGTCTCGCACGCCCTGGTCGAGCTGCACTGCTCGGCCTGAGGCTGCCGTAGTTTTTTTAGGCCTCGGACCTCCTCTTCGCGTGCCCTCAGCGATTGTCCTGGAACTCCGCGCATTCTGCTGCGGACGGGATGGCGACGGCCGCGCCCCACCCCCAGGCACCTCCTGCCCTTGCCTCGGGGTGCGCGGCTGGCGGGGGCGCGGCCTGGGAGCGAGACAGGCGCCGCCGCGTAGCTGGCCAGGCTCGGCTCTGCGATGACGGCGCCGAGGATGCCGACGCCGACGACGGCTTGCGGCTGCTGGGCGAGGTCCCACGGGCTGCAGCTGCAGGGCTTGCTGCACCTCCGGCGGCTGGCGCCACAGGGGATGCGATGGGTCCTCCTGCGCCGCCGCCGCCCCGACCCGTCCCAGTTGAACCTGGCCCAGTACATCTTCGGCTCGCTGACCGCCTCCATGGGCACCAGGATCGAGACGACAGAGTCCAGCGCAGCGACGTTCAAGCGCACGACGGAGACCAGCGCGAGAGACATTGCCGCGGTGCAGGCACGGCTGAGGGCGCAGGAGGTTAGGTTGGAGGCGCTCGAGGCAGAGCGGTTTAGAAGTCCCCGTACGCATGCCCTTCGCAGATCGGCACGCTTCGCGTCCGCAGCCTTCTGGTGCCGTGTAGAGATCGCCCCATTAGGTCTAAAAGTCCGGGGCACCCATGTAGGTCTGACCGAAGCTGCGCGCGCGAGATATGCAATATCATCCAGCGGGCTTGGAGGACCTGGGCCGCATATAGAGCCATCTTAACTAATCCGAGGATCAGCCTACAGAAGAGGCTGAGAGCGCTCGATAGATGTGTCCGTCGCGCTCTGACAGATGTTATAGGTATCCTTCGCATTACCGTGTCAGCCATGGGTAGGATCTCGAAAGGTCATGATACTATGCGCCGTAGAATGATCAGGCCTCCTGGAGGCGAGACAGCAGTATAATTTCTGAAGGCCGCGATGGCCACAGTCCTGGGTGTCCGCACGCGCTACAGTACCGAAGCCTGGCCCCAGACCTGCCGACGAATGCAGCATGTATGGGCAGGCCACCTGCAGTTTTTCGCCCGCTCGGCGCCAGAACGCATCGCTTACAGAGTCCTCTGCTGTCACGATGGGGCCTGGATGCACGCCATGACAAGATGGCAAGGTCCCCAGTTGCACCATGGTGCCGTAGGGATCTGGCGTTGGGAGCGCGATTTATATGCATTTTGCAGGGGTGATTGGCTTCTCCGACCATTTCTAAGGCTGTCTTGGAGAGATGGGCAGCGCGCGTGGCTTGAATGGCATAAGACTTTCAGGTAACTCCGTCACCGCTTGTAACCTAGCTTCTGTTTGTAGCGTCGGGCCCAGGAGGCAACTCAGCAGGACGCCTTACGAACGAACGAACGAACTAACGCCGCAGCCGTCGTCGTCGTCGTTGCCGCCACCGCCGCCGACGCCGTCGTCGTCGCCGTCGTCGTCGTCGCCGTGGCCGTCGCCGCCGCCGCCGTCGCCGTCGTCGTCGACGTCGTCACCACCGTCGCCGCCGCCGCCGACGCCGACAACGACGACCACCACCACCACGACGACCACCAGGACGACGACCACGACGAAGACCACCACGACACGACCGCCACGCAGACGGCGATGCTGACGGAGACGGCGGCGGCCTCCGAGGCCAGCGGGCCGGCGTGCGCGCCCGCGGCGGGGGCGCTCGCGGACGGCGGCGCGCCGGCGGGGGCCCCGGCGCCGGGGCGCCCGTACACGGCCGACGAAGAAGGCACCAGACTCGCTTTTGCCCTTGGGGGTATCTCCTCCCAGGAAGGAGAATGGAGGAGAAGGAGAAGGAGGAGGAGGAGGAGGAGGAGGAGGAGGAGGAGGAGGAGGAGGAGGAGGAGAGGAGGAGGAGGAGGAGGAGGAGGGATGAGGAAGGAGAAGAGGACTCAAGAGGGATACTAATTGTATGAAAAAGAGAAGAGGAGGAGGAGGAGGAACGGAGGAGGAGGAAGGAGGAGAGGCGCAGGAGGAGCTGGAGAGGAGGAGGCGAAGCGGAGTGGGAATGAAGGAGGAATACGAGGAAAGAGGGGAACGAAGGAGGAGGAGGAGGAAGGAGAAAGGGTAAAAGGAGGAAGGAGGAAGGAGGGAGGAATGGAGCACAGGAGGAGGGAAGAGGAGGGATGGAGGAGGAGGGAGGAAGAGGAGGAGGAAGGTAGGAGGAGGCGGGCGGAGGAGGTGGAGGAGGAGGAAGAGGAGGAGCAGGAGCAGGAGCGGGAGGAGGTGGAGGAGGCAGGAGGAGGAGGAATAGTAATAATAATGATAGTGATGAAACAATATTACGAATCATACGAATAGTAATAATAACCATCAGCAGCATACTCAGAATAATCGAAATCATACTATTAACAAAATTACGAATGCTAGTCTTAGTAGTAATAACAATGCTCCTACTACTACTACTACTACTACTACTACTACTACTACTACTACTACTACTACTACTACTACTACTACTACTACTACTACTACTACTACTACTACCTACTACCTACTACCTACTTCCTACTTACTACTACATACTACTACTACCCCTACTACTACCACTACTACCAGTACTACGACCCGTACGACTACTACTACTACTACTACTACTACTAACTACTACTACCTAACTTACACTAACTACTACTTACTACAAACTACTACTACTACTAACTACTTAGACTACTTTACTACACTTAACTACTACTACTACTACATACTACTACTACTACAACTATACTACTACTACAACACTACTACTACTAACATAACTACTGCTACTACAGCTGCTGCTGCTGCTGCTGCTGCTGCTGCGGCTGCTGCTACTGCTCTGGCATGGCTGCTACTACTGACGACGACTACTACTACACTACTACACTACTACTACTCACAAGCTACAACTACAACTACAACTACAACTACAACTACAACAACAACAACAACAACAACAACTACTACTACTACTACTACTACTACTACTACTACGACTACTCCAACTACAACTACTACGACTACTACTGCTAGTACTACTTCTAATACCAGTGGTCATAATCCGAAACATAGTAGTAGTAGTAGTAGTAGTAGTAGTAGTAGTAGTAGTAGTAGTAGTAGTAGTAGTAGTAGTAGTAGTAGTAGTAGTAGTAGTAGTAGTTTACAGCATTACTATTAGCACTATTTCCATTAGTGATAGCAGTCGTATTAATCATCATGATGCATAAGAGTAAGAATGCTACTATGTATAATCATAACAGTATAGAAATAATAGTACGTGTCGTAATAATAATAATGATACTGCTGATAATAGTAATAGTAATAATAATACTAATAATAAGAATAATAATAATAAGAAGAACAAGAATAATAATAAGAATAATAATAAGAAGAAGAAGAAGAAGAAGAAGGGAAGGAGGAGGAGCAGGAGGAGGAGGAGACGCAGAAGGTGGAGAAGGAGGAATACGGGGAAGAGGAGTAGGAAGGACGAAGAGGAAAGGAGGAAGGAGGAAGGAGGGACAAGCGAGGAGGGAGGAGGGAGAAGGAGGAGGAGGAGGAGGAGGAGGAGGAGGGAGGAAGAGGAGGAGGAGGAGCAAGAGGAGGAGGAGGAGGAGGAGGAGGAGGAGGAGGAGGAGGAGGAGGAGGAGGAGGAGGAGGAGGAGCAGCAGGACGAGGTGGAGGAGGAGGAGGAGGAGGAGCATTAGGAGGAGGATAAGGAAGGGAGCCCTGGCGCGGGGAGGCCGACACCGCGAGAGAGCCTTGGAGGATCGAGGATCGAGGAATCGAGGATTGAATTTCGAGGATCGGGAAGTTGGGATCTAGGATCGAGGATTCGAGGATCGAGCCTCTAGGAACGAGGATTCCACGATCTACCCTCGAGGATCGAGCTTCGAGGGTTGAGCTTCGAGGATCAAGGGTTCGCGGATTCGACGGCGCCCGTGCGCGGCCGACGAAGAAGGCGCAACCGCCGCCGTCGGAGGGCCTTCGAGGATCTCACTTCGAGGGTCGAGCTTCGATAACTCGAAGGCGCCTGTGCACGCCCGACGGAGAAGGCGCCGCCGCCGTCGGATCGGCACAAGCGGAAAGGGGTACGAAAGTGGTGCGAGGACCGACAGCAGTGGCTGCCCATCCTGAGCGGGGCTCGCTGTCGGCTCCGCCACGGGCGTTGCCCACTTGAGACGTAGAGGCGCATGCCCAGCAGCGCCCGCTGTGGCTTCGAACGACATGTGCCGTTGGGCATTGTTCAAGGGAGGGGAAGACCGCCCGGGCCGGACAATTGGCGTTTACTCAACGGTCCTGGGCGCTTGCTAAGCAGCCCTGCCCTGATCGATCTCTTCTTTGGGCGCGTTTACCAAACGGCTTCGCATGTCGGGGTGGTTATTTCCGGGTTGGATTTTCTGCCCTCTAATTGTGCCCATGTTCTCCGTACAGTGCCGTTTCTCATACATACTCCGCGTGCGGATCGTTTATCAAAGATAAAGGGATTTAGTATTAAACACAATGATGAATGTATGCGTTGATGCATTCGTGAATTAATCATGGATTAAACAATTAATGTATCACAAATCCTATGTGTTAAAACCTGCGCCCCAGAACGCAGGACCGCCGGGGCGCGGATGTGGATACGTTCGCAGGCTCGTGAGCCCTCTCCGTGCCAGCGTCGTCCTCCTCGTGTGCGCGCGCGCGTGCCGGCGCCTGGCGCTGGCTGGTCACGTCAGGATCCGCTGCTTGCCGGGCTGCAGCGGGGGCGGGGGTGGAGCAGGGATGCAGGGATGGAGAGGGGAGGGGGAGGAGAAAGGGAGGAGGAGGAGGACGAGGAGGGCCTTCGAGGAGGAGGAGGACGAGGAGGAGGAGGAGGACGACGAGGAGGAGGACGAGGAGGAGGAGGAGGACGAGGAGGGAGGAGGAGGACGAGGAGGGAGGAGGAGGAGGAGGACAACGAGGAGGAGGAGGACCAGGAGGGCCTCCGAGGATCGAGCTTCGCGGACTCGGGACGCGAGGGCTCGGGGGTTCGCGGCACGCGGGGCTTCGAGGCTCGAGGGTCGGGGCTCCGAGGGCGCCCGCACGCGCCCGGCGGAGGAGGCGCCCGCGCGCGCCCGACGGAGGAGGAGGAGGAGGGAGGGGGAGGAGGACGGCAGTGCACGGCGGCGACCGGACGGGAGGGAGGAGGAGGAGGACGGACGGGAGGAGGAGGAGGAGGACGGAGGAGGAGGAGGGGGAGTGAGGAGGAGGGGAGAGGAGGAGGGGGAGGAGGAGGAGAAGGGGGAGGAGAGGAGGGCGGAGAGGAGGAGAGGAGGGCGGAGGTGAGGAGGATGGAGGAGGAGGGAGGAGGAGGAGGAGGAGGTAGGAGGGGGGAGGAGGAGGGGAAGGAGGAGGAGGAGGAGGAGGAGGAGGAGGAGGAGGATCACGACGACCAAGCCTTCAGGCCTCAAACCCTCGATCCTCGACCCCCGCGGGCGGCGGACTGCGACGGCGGCCACGTGCGGCCACGACGACGTTAACGACGACCTCGTCGGCTTCGTAGTCTTCGGTGGACGGTTTCGGGGGGGGAACGGGACGAGGACGGAGGGAGTAAGAGGAGGAGGAGGAGGAGGAGGAGGAGGAGGAGGAGGAGGAGAAGAGAAGGAGGAAGAGAAGGATCGCTCGAGCTACCCTTCGAGCGCTCACCCCCAGACTTCCGGCGGGCTGCTTCTGCTCAATCCGCGGGCCTCTGCCTCGGCATTCGGGGGGGTTTGCCATCCCGGATTCTCCCGGGGCCCAGAAACGGCCCCCGGAGGCCGACATGAACGGAGAAAACAAGGATTGAAGGTGCCAGTCCGCCTTAAAGTCCAGGGGGGGAGCATGATCTCTCGATCTAGACTTCGGGGCGCGTGCCGCTTGAGGGTCGGCCCCGCGAAGGCGAGAGCCCTTGGCAGAGGTTCGCGCACCTGGACGGCGAGGGTTACTGGTGGTGGTGCTCCCGCAGCGGAGAAAGCTTCATTGAGGAGCGCATCCGCTCCTCATCCTCCCATCCCTTTGCCCCCTCATCCCTTTCCCCCCCCAACCCCCCCGCCCCCACTTCCCCTTCTCCTCTGACCCTCCTCCGTCTCCTAACCCCTTCTCCTATCTCCGTCCATCTCAGCCTTAACCTACCCACTCCCTCTACCCCTCCTCATCCTCTCTCCATCTCATCCATCTCATCCCTCCTCCTCTTCAACACCCCCTCCTCATGCACTCATCTCCCTTCTCCTCCTCTTCCTCTGTTTTCATCCTATCCTCCTCATCATCATATACATTCCCCCCAAGACCCAGTCTTTCCCACCCGCCTCCTCTGCCTCATCCTGATCCTCCCCCTCCTCGTCTTCCTCCCTTCCCCCCCTCCGCGTCCTCATCCATCCCTGCCGTTCGCCTCCGCATCCTCGTGCACAACTGCTCAGCATGAGTACTGCCTCTCCTCTCTGCCTCTCATCAGACCCATCGCCAACTTTGAACATTGGGGGGAGGGGGAGGCGTCCACAGATGAATGTGGCACGAGTGTTCGCTGATTTTTCCCGAGGCCTGCATTCCAACAACAGCAACCATGTCCAGCCCTGGGCGGCCTCTCCTCCGACCATGTCCAGCCCTGGGCCGCCTCTCCTGCTCCCCCTCCTCCTCCTCCTCCTTCTCCTGGTCCTCCTCCTCCTCCTCCTCCTCCTCGTCCTCCTCCTCCTCGTCCTCCTCCTCCTCCTCGGCCAGCAGCGCATGGTTCCTCACACAATGGATTTCAGGCATTGGTTTTCGGCGTGGCATTCCAACAGCAGCAACCAGTGAAACGGGGCTCCCGCTGCAGCGTTGCCCACGCGTCGGGATCCGAACGGCGCTCTCGCCCGCACTCCCGGATCCGATGCCCTCCTCGTCGTTGCTGCCCCCCTCCTTTCCCCTCCTCCTCCTCCCCCAGCTTCCCCTCCCCCTCCTCATCCTCCTCCTCCTACTGCTCCTCCTTCTCCTCCTCCTCCTGCTCCTCCTCCTTCTCCCCCAGCTTCCCCTTCTCCT